CCCGCGACGCGCTGCACCTGGGGTTCGCGCCGCCACCCCGAGAGCCGCGGCCCAAGCTCCATCACAGCCTCAGCTTCTCGGGCTTCCCCTCGGGCCACCACCAGCCCCCGGGGGGCCTCGAGTCGCCGCTGCTGCTCGACAGCCCCACAAAAAAAAACAAAAAAACTTTCTCCACTTCCCCAGGAATAACCGCCCGTGTGTTTTCTCTGTCCCCCCTGCAGTCTCCAACATGGTGCAGTACTTCAGCCCCGCGTCGGTGGCCAGCAGCCCGGCCCGCGCCCTCCTGCTGGTCGGCGTCGTCCTCCTGGCCTACTGGTTCCTGTCTCTGGCCCTGGGCGTCACCTTCAGGGTGCTGCAGTTGGTGTTCGGCCGCTTCTTCTGGGTGGCACGGGTCGTGCTGTTCTCCATGTCCTGCGTGTACGTGCTGCACAAGCACGAGGGCGAGCCGGAGCACGCCGTGCTGCCCCTGTGCTTCGTGGTGGCCGTCTACTTCATGACCGGGCCCATGGGCCCGCACTGGCGCAGCAGCCCCCCGGGGCCCAGCATGGAGGAGAAGCTGGAGCACCTGGAGAGCCAGGTCCGACTGCTCAACGTCCGCCTCAACAGGGTCCTGGAGAACTTGGACCGGTCCAGCACCAAATGACGGTGCCCCGGCGGGCCGCCAGGCCCCGTGTCGCCAGCATGTCCTCCGGCGAAAAGACCAAGACGGAAAAAGGGCAAAAGGGACCCGAGACAATCCCAGTAATAAACGTGACCGAGCAAAAGCGGCCCTTGGTATGGGGGTGTTTCCACCGACGGGCGCTCCCAGGACGCGTCCCGTCCCGTCCCGAGGGTTGCTGGCACGCACACCGCACACCGTTCTCGGCGTGGGACTGCGTGCCGGGAATCGATGTAGAGGAGGAAATATTTTTTCAACAGAGGATCTAAATAACCGTATTTGCTGTACAGCCAGAGAAGTTTTATCTGTGCATAGTGCATAAAGTTAGTCGTCTCCCCGCCCCGGCCCCCCAGCTTTTGTAAGGCTTTTGTTTTTCTGAATGAGGGTGGATGGAGTGGGGTTTTTTAAATCAAGAGGGAAGGATGTGTGTTAGCGATGGGTTGGTTTAGAGCCTCTGGGTTCTCGGTGGGAGAGGCCTCTGCCAGTTCTTGGGGCCCAGAGTTCTTACACGGGGCGTCGAGCATGGCCACTTCTGACTGGGCTGTCAGACACCCAGCAGGTGAGATGAAACATCGGGATCCTGGGAATCCCGGCCAAGCCGGCTGCCCCGTCGGTTTTATTTCCAAATGAAACAACTGTTCTTTTCCAGGACATTTTGGATTATCCCCTTCTGCCACCACCCCAGGACTTGGATGTGTTTTTAACTTCCACAGCTAAATAAGTAAATAAACAGAACACTTCTTTGGGGTTGATGTCCGGAGCCCCAAGGCTTTCCTAAGAATCCTCATGATCTCCTCCATGTCCCGCATCGAGACCCATGGATCGAGAAGGAAAAATCCCACCCGAGGTTGTGTTTTGTTTTCTGATTGATCGATTGATTGCGTTTTTTGGTGTGCGTTGACTCAGGAGGAACACGCACCGCACCTCAAAGCACGACCAGCTCTTGCTGATGAAGGCATCCCTGGAGGCTCTGCATGGCCTCCACCCCCAGGTTTGC